GGGGGGGCTGGGCCCCACAGCGTGCGCCCCGCAAGCATGCCGGTGGCACCGCCGGGGACGTCAACAAAAGCAACCCCCTCAATGGGCGCGACGGAATGTAGGTTAAACAGAAGTGCGCCACGCGGCCTTCACGCTGCCGCCGCTAATGTGCGATGCTCGCGCTTATCAATGAAAATTTACTCCCTCAAGCCAAATAAGCATTTGATCGAGAATTATAAACACAATATGATCAGGCAAACAAAAATATCATCGAGCCGACCACACCTCTATCTACATGACTAAATCAGGGCGATCAAAATTTATTTTATAGAAGAAAACTTTCCTTGGCTTTCGTTTTTGTTCCCCGAATCAAATGGTTTTCTGAATGTACGTTGCATTCGCATATAGACCATGCAATACACTGAGTGAGCTTTAAGCACACAACTTGAATTCTGGATGAAAGCGGACTTTGGCGGTAGGGCACACATACGTAAAGGTAGTCGTTTGGTCGCGGCTAAACGAATTCGGTACACACACTATCTTTTTCTCGAGTCTCCTGTTATTGTTTATTTTCTCGGCCGGTGCGTCACGGTTTCAGTAGCAGCGATGACACATTTTTACTCTCCGCATGACCCAGATACAAAATAATGTAATGAAAGCATCAGCTCTGCTTGCTCTGCTCTGCGCGTGGCGGCCCGGAGGGCCCCCCTCTCGATGTGGCGTGTCCGAATGAGCCAGCCAGCAGAGCCCCCCGACAAAAGCAGCCCTACTATGCACTTCTTTGTGCGCCCGCTGGCTACCGGAGGGACAGGCCGAGCGGAGCTGCTGAGGTGGGGTAGGTTTTCGTGTCGAGGTCGCGCGCGCTTCCCCCCTTTTGTCTCTCACAGAGTCGGCCTTGGATGAAATTGGACGTCCTTTTGCCGCGCGGCTCTTTCCTTTTCTTCGCGGCCGCCCCCGCCGCCCCCGCCGCGCCTTCCGTCCTGACCCATTTCCCAGAAATCGGGTCGCGGCGCGCGACATGGCCAATATAATGGACGCGGCTGCGAGTGCGAATCTGCGGCGCGTGCTCTAGTGACACGCGTGGCCCGGGTGAGGGAAGGGTCAGCACACACGGCCCCTTGCTGGTAACGGTTTCGTAGACCGCAAAGATTTTAAAGTGCACGGCGTGTCTCGGGGCTAGACACAACGGTAGGCCTTGCCTATACTCGGTCCATCCGCAAGGCTCCTGGTGTGTCGCAGAGAGAAAGAGAGCGCCGATGGAGGCCCTCTACAATGGGGCGAGGTGAGGCGCGTTCCGCACGTGTCGAGAACCAGCGGTCGCGACCGAGCGGCGATCGGCAGCGCTTCGGCTGCACTTCGTGGTTTGTGAGATCCCTGGGCCGCATAAGGGACGATGGGGCACCCCGGCTCGGCTCGGCCCGATGGACAAAGGCCCGGCTGGACCCGTCGCCTGCTGCACCCGGCTCGAGTCAGGTAGCCCTGCTCTACGGCAACTCAAAAGAATCGCGCGCGGCCGCCTCCGAGTGGTGGCGGTGTTCGTTGTCTTTGTCGCACCACTGAGTCGGGGCGGGAGCGGGAGAGAGACCTCCGCTGGACTTCGCGGAGGTGTCCCTCCCCCACCGCCGCCCTTCCTTGCCAATAGGCGCGCAGAAGAGAAGTCGCCAGCGCGCTTATGCACGGGGGTCCGGGCCGATGCAGCTCTGAGCCCAGCGGACCCGGCACGGTTTTATTGCCCCCATAAGCGCTCTCTTTCTCTCTGGTGTGTCGCGCAGGCCGCGCAGCCCTGACACCCGGGTCTCGGCGCACCTCTAAAAATAGTAACCAGTACTTGTTTCAAATTTAAAATCAAATTTAAAAAAAAAAAAATATTTATTTTGGGTAGAAATGTTACCCACTGAAACGTAAACAGAATATCAAATTGGCGTGCGATAGGGGATGGATACAGCACTGGAACTTTAAAGGACATGGCGGTTGGCTTACATCACTTGAACACGTTCAACTTGAGTTGTACTAGGTTCAAGTCTTAGCTCACGTATGGCGGTGGTAGCCTCGGCGCACAGGGAACACTCCAACTCAGTCGGGGAGTGCCTGAACAACAGGACGAACTTGGATCTGGCCGTGAAGACTTGACACAGTCGAACACACACGTGGAGCGACGCCACAGGGGCGTCCCGCACCACGCGCTGGAGCACCGTGACCATCCGGGCGTTGTTTTCTGCGAACAGAGGATGGTTGTCTCAAGCTCCGTGGCTGGTTACCCCTGCGCACTTCTGTAGCTGTACATAGGGTGGTCCACAGACCCCTTCCTTTATTGCTTATACTGTACCGCATGCAGGCGGGCGGACGGGTTGCATACTCGCACGGGGACGGGGCCGTAAGGCGCCACAGTGAGCGACGGTAGGCAAGCCAGGCAAGCCAACCCGTACGCCTGCATGCGGTACAATATAAGCAAAATAAAGGAAGGGGTCTGGACCACCCTGTATACTGAACCGCCCTGACGACGGCGCCTTACCCAAGGCCCGGGCCAAACGAATGCGGTACAGCATAACTACAAGTTGTTTCGCGGGGACAGTCAGCCACCTGATAGAGACAAGGCAGGACGAGGTCTCACCTTCACTCCTCCTACACGAACATGTGTGGCTGCTCAACTCTGAACGGGCCGTGCAACTAGATGAGACAACCAGCATGTTGAGGGCAGGGATTGTGGCGGGGTCGTTGACGCTCTGGAACAACTCCGCCGTCGGTGAGCTCGTCAGCAGCACGACGAGCGCCTCGAGGCCGCCGAGCCCGCCCGCCAGCAGGTCAGCCGCAGTGGCGATGCGACAGCGCACGAGCTCGAGGCGTTGCAGTCCGAGGCGTCGTTGGAAGGAGTAGTCCAAGAACTTGTCCCACTGCGAACGACATGTCAGGGAGCGGTTATGGAGCAGCACACAGTGCCTGAGCGACCAGGAGCAGGCCTATGCTTACCTGTTGCACCACGCCGTACTTCCGGCCGTACTTCAGGGTCACTCGGAGCTGCTTGAGCCTTTGCATTCCCTGCAGGTACTCGTCCACGGCCCTCGGGGTGCCCACGATGCTCAGCTGGTCGAGGTCGCTCGGCCAAGTGTCCACATCCACCACGGGCTCCAGACCCACCGTCCTCAGCGTCACACTGCGCAGCTGCCCGCTGCAAACACATTTAAAGAGTTAAACGTCGCCGTCCAGGTCCAGGTGTGTGGTTGTGAACATGAATATGCTACCTTACCTGTGTGCTCCGAACAGCGACCCAATGGCGTCGAATGTGGGATCATCTTCCTGGGAGTCGCGGATGTGGAACTCTACGGCGCGCAGGCTGGGCAGCACCAAGTCCTGCGGACAGAGTCATGTCCATGGTCATGTCGGGGGCCCAAGGGGCTGCCTACCTCCAGGCGCACACACTCACCTGCGGCCACTCGCGACACAAGAGCTGCACCTCGAAGCTAAGAGTCTCCAGGCAGCAAGCCTTTCGCAAAAGAATAGAGAGATCGTCCATTCCCAACTCACTCTTTGCGAATTGCAGATACTTGAGTCTCGGCGCCAGCAGGTCGATAATTGCGGTGCAGCCATCACCAGGTCCTGAAACGCTAAGCGCGGTGACATTGGCATCCACCTCCAAAAAACTGCGAGTAGAGAAATCGTTCAATATTAGAACTGTGACACTGTCACGTCACCGTCACTGTACGCAAGGCACGACGACAACATACCCGGAATCAAGTCTTCGGCTGTTATGCTCGGCCCAATCGTTTCCGTTGTCTTCGTAAGTGCAGCAGCCGCAGCGGTTGTCGAAATACAACTTGTCCACGGTGGGCAGCGCGCGCTGCAATAGTTCCACCAGGTCATCAATGAGGTGGATTTGGAGTTCGTAGAAGTAGTGTGCCCCCAGCCACAGCGACCTGTGCGCCCTGGTCAGCTCGGCCAGGCGCGGGTACGCCCGCCCGGCGGCGCCCAGGTCATTCGGCTTCAGATGGGAGAGCACGCGAAGCAGCGGTCCCTTGGGCAGAGTCCACAGCGCCTGCGAACAACGACGTGTGCTTAAAACAACCCTCGGGAAGTGTTCCGTTGGGTGAGGGGATTTTCTACGTTTGAAGGGAACGTCCGTAAGACAATAAATTCTTAACACTTAAAACGTAGAAAACTCTCTTGAAATAATAGGAAAAAATCCTTGCTCTATCTAGGCCCTTGACCTCCTTGACCTTCTGTTAGAAATACGAATTTCTGGCTGGAAGCGAAATAGTTCACTTGAAAGGACACGATTGCGCCACACACACACACTCTGCGTGAGTGAGTATCCACACGACGCTCACATTGTTGCCATAACCCCCTCCCCCCTCCTCCGCCCCTTAAGGCAGTTGACACAATTATCGACAAATGTAATAATTTAGAAACGCAGTGCTCGTTAGTTCGTTTTAGTCCCCGACTGTGTGAACGATGCGAAACAACTGGGCGGCTCAGTATGTCCACCAAACTGAAGAGGTTATGTTACTACACTTATTGCGCGCTCCCCCGTCCGCTGCGTCCTTAACCCCGGTCTTAGTGTGATAACACATACCAGTTCTTGGGGCTGATCTCCGGCATGTTGCGACGATGTCCGTGGTTTCGGTGAAACACATTGCTTCTTCAACTGGGGACATGCCATTCTTAACCAAGAACCCAACCAAGACTCTTCAAACAGAGATGACGCAAACAAAGGGTTATGTATCACCCTGTCGACACAATCAAACCCTTTCAACGGCGCATCGGAAGTGTCACAATTTCACTTCAAATAACGTACAGCAGTGGCGCCCTTCCAGATTGCACGACCAAGCAAATAACAACACCAACACTAATCAATCATCAAACTCTGCCTGCCGCATAGAAGGCATCAACATGAGGGAGGTAAGGCAAGTGGAGCACCAGCTAGCGCCCCTGGCGGCGAAGGGTGGTGTCTGCGCGTGCCGCGAGTTATAAAGGGGCCGTCGTCGTGGTGCTCGTCGTCTCCATCGTCAGGTAGGCTCAGAGAGAGACCGTGGCCCGGGGAGGCGCCCCGTCCAGGCCGCAGGGGCGGTCCGCGGCAGCCGCCAGCTCGTCCTCGTCCTTGACACCATTTCTCCAGCAGGGCCACGCGCCCGTCTCGCGCGTCCGCTATGGGGAGCAGAAAATGCCTTTTGTCGAAGAGCTGACCCTAATTTGTGGGGGCTGTCTCTGCTCGCCCTCGGCCCCGCCGCCCGCCTGCACTGATACGATCCGTAACGCATCCCCCCCCCCCGCCCGCGCCGCGCGTATCCCTCCACCTGCCTGACCCCCGGCAGCACCTCCCCGGGGAAGGGTTGACGGCTGATGCCTGCGCCAGGTGGGGCGGGCGGGGCTCCGCGGGAGGGGCTGGGCGGGCTGCACCTGGGAGTCTTTGGCTGAAAATCCCTGGGCATACACCGTGATGGCGCACCCCTGCGGATAGCCTCCAAGGCGAGGCGAGGAGCACTACAAACAAACTACCCCTCTCCGTCGCGCAAGGCAGCGCAAGGGGCGGGGCTGTCCTCGGCACCCCGCCCGCCC